TTTTTTTTTTTTTGGTTAAAAATGCCTTACTATCTAACATTTTTGTTGTTTTTAGAGAGAAAAGGAGGATACTGTGTATATGATGCAACCCCCCCCCCCAAAAAAAACACAGTCAAGCCAAAAGTAAGGTATGTACACTTTACTGATAAAAGAATAATCCAGTGAGCACAGCACAGTGTGTTAGTGAGTCATTTAAAAAGAGAAGTGTCTCGTTTATGATAAAAAGTGACCGAGTTGCATTCAGTCCCAGATGCGGCTGAGCGGTTGTCACGGCGATGCTCGGCGTCCCTCCTTTCAAGTTTCCTTGTACCTGCACGGCAGTAGCACCGTTAGGCATCAGCATAGATAGAAAAAAAAAATATATATATATACGTGTGTGTGTCTCGATCTGCTACTCACCCTCTGACTCGCGGGATGCGTACGCACCAACCTTGCGCTTCCTTGTAAACGAGCCTGGACAGAAACTGTGCAGGAAAAAGTGTCAAGTCACGCTGTTGGCACGTGGCGCGGCGCGGCTCCGTGCCGTCGCTTACCAGACAGGCCAGCATGTCGGCGGAGATGAGCATGTAGAAAACGTTGTTCCAGCCCGACGGCGAAATGAGCCCGGCGAAGAGCGGGCCCAGCGCGGCGCCTGCGTGGAGGTGACCCGCCCCGCGTTAGCATCAGCTTGCCGTCAAAGATGCTAACGTACGGCAAAAGACGGCGATGTCTTACCCACTGATCCCGTCCCGTCGATGATGGCCGTCACCGTGGACAAGGCCCTGGAGTTGCCTCTCAGACTCTCGTGTGTGCCCTGAAATAAACGACGCCGATTCATTTCGGTGCATCGCGCTCATTTCAATGTCTTTTTCTTCATCAAGTGATTAAAAGTGGCTTTGAATCGGCATCAAGGAAGTACGGTTTGCGATGAAGGTTGGTGAAATGCCCTCGCGCCTTTAATAGGCGTGGCCGATGATGACGGCATCTACTCAATTCAACAATCTTTTTTTTTCAGGAGCACTTTAGAAGCAGTCACAGCGGAAACAAAGTAGGTGAATTAAAAACTGAAACGATAACATACCACAATTTCAAACAAGCTAAGAGAGAGCGTATATCTTTGCAGGAATAAAATCATCTGTCAGACTTACCAGGTCAGCAGATACAGCGGTGGTGATGAGGGCGTACGGTCCATTGACCAGACCGCCACAAACCAAGAGCATGCCTAAGGAAATACCAATTGACTTCGTATGTTGTGTTGCGGCATCGACATTTCTTCCACGGATCTTACCAATGGTGGTGCCAAGGCTCCGCTGTCCGATGTGGTTGTAGAGGAAAAGCTGCGGCGGGACAGCGGGTTAATAATGACCATCACGTCAAGGCTAATTTCTGTTCGCCTGTCCGTGGCGTTTCACGTGACATGTTAGCATTGATAGGGAATGCTTGCAACAAATGTGTTTTATGAAGTTTAAGAAAGTTTATCGGAGAGGTTAAACTATGTATGTTTCTCGAACGGTGGCAAGACTCACCATGGGGGCGGCGGCAAGCAACATGACGCAACACGTGGTGGCCCTCCCGCCCGTGTAGTCCGACACGACGCCCGCCATGATGCCGCCTGTTGTGCGGCAAAGACTCAACATGAAACACTGCCGCGCTAAGATCACATTAGGATGAAATGACGTTTTTTTTTAAATTAAAATCGGGCCTTACCCACGATTCCCCCCACATCGAAAAGCGTGGACATGTCTCCGGCTTCTTTGGCCTCGAAATGCGCTGAAAGACAAAACGGGCGTGAATACGGGTGGCCGTACGCGTACGACTTGCGCGCGATTGACCACCGACCGACGTTGGAGATGTAGAGCGGCAGCCAGTAGAGGAACGTGTAGCTGACCAGCTTGGCGAAGAGCAGACACAGCGAGAACTCGACCACGCCCTGTGGGACGCCGGCGCATGGTTATCAAGGAACGGGTCAAGGGATGACATTTCACAATGAGGAGAGAGGAAAAAAAAGTATTATTTGATGACTTGAATAAACAACTTTTCCATCCACATTTCCTGTCGCCTCATCTGCTTTAAAAAAAAATTCAACTTGAAGTCCAGCTTCATTTATTTCCTTCAATGTAAGCGCGGTGTAGATCACAACGGCGTGCGAGCAATCTTAAAACGCGTCAGCGAACACGACGCAAAGGCCTCACGGGTATGCTGAGCGCTCCCCAGAAGCTGATGGCCTCCGAGTGCCCGGCGGCGTTGTCGGGCGCGTCGGCGACGATGGAACCGTTGGCCACGTGCGACGGACTCTGCAGGAGAGGATCCGTCTCACCACTTTCACTTTCCAAGTCATTCTGACACACACACACACACACACACACACACACACACACACACACACACACACACAACACACGCGCACAACACACACACAGACAGAAACACACGCGCTCACGCAGCTGTTTGGCAAGCGGGCTGGCGAGCCGCGCGGATGCTCACGTGATGCTGCGGAGGACTGCAGTTGACGTCTTCGGGTTCTGCGGGACGTGGCGGGCAGTCAGAAGGCGCGACGGAGAAAAACGGCGAGCGGGCGGTTAGCGGGCGAGCGACTCACTCTCGACCAGGAAGAAGAAGCAGAGGACGCCGGTGGAGGCGATGATGACGCCCGGCACGATGAAGGAGAGGCCCCACGCCGACGACACGAAGGCGCCGGCGATGAGCGAGCCCAGGATGTTGCCCACCGACGTGTGCGAGTTCCACACGCCCATGATGAAGCCGCGCCTGGTGGCAGCGAAGGACAGCGCCGCTTCATTGGGCCGCACGCTCGGCAAAGATGGCCGACGTGCACTGACGCGCCGGAAAAAAAGATGCGGCGACGCATTCCTCAAACACGGCCGGCCGGCAAAGCGCTTTTAATTTTTTCTAAAAAATGAATTCTTTACTTGTCGGGCAACAACATGCTTTCTATTTTTAATTCATTGCATGAGTTGTTTCTTTCAAATGTTACTTCATATTATGAAACTGTTATATGGGAACTGTTATTGTTGTCAAGGCACAATTTGTGTTCTAGCTGCTGTTTTGTGAAGCGCTTTGTTACATCGACATTTTCTTTGCTCTTTGAAATGTTTGCTCACGCACGAATGATGAACAGTAAGAGCCAAAAGCTCGAGCGTTCCTTACGGTTGGCCGAGGAGAGTGGATGCGCTCGGCCTAGCTTAGCACGAAGAAACAGCAAAGCCTTTGGGCCCACTTCAAAGTCTGAAAGGGATTCGATTCAAAGGCGGCCGCTTTTTGCGGACGTTCGGACAGAGGAGGACGTCCTCGTCCTTCCTCACTGGTATGCTGACTCAGCTCAAACCCCCCCTCAACCCCACCCGGTTTCCATCTTGTCTGTTGGAAATTTCCGCACCTCCCTTCAAGGAAACCACGACGCGCACGTGCCGACTGACCGTGACACGGCCGCACTTTCTGAGAATCGCCTTTTTTGCGCTCGGGGTGGGAATTTGTGAAGTCGGGTCGCGGCAGGGTGTCGAAATGCGACGCATGTGAAGGAGACGATATGGCGAGTCATCGGTATTGGGGGGGGGAGGGGGGCAAGGGAATACTCACTTCCCCTTTCCGAACCAGTTGCCGACGCAGGCCACCACAGCGGGCCAGCCCGTGGTCTGCATCAACCCATTGAGCACCTGCGGGATGGGGGGGGGGGAGGGGAGGGCGGAACAGAAGCAGACACATAAGTCCCAAAACAAGCAGACTTGTGACACCCCCCACCCCCAACACTCCCCCCTTCACACACAGCTATGCACTGTGTGTGTGTGTGTGTGTGTGTGTGTGTGTGTGTGTGTGTGTGTGTGTGTGTGTGTGTGTGTGTCAGGCTAATCCCTGACTTGTGACCGCGGTCATGTGACTCAGCAGCCACAAGTCAGCTGACAAAGAGAGCCTTGACCGCAAGACGTCTTGCAAAGTCAATTCCGAGGTGCACCCGACTAATTAGCAACGAATCGATCGTCAAACAAACTGAGAAATATTTTGATCATCAATTCATCATTTGAATACTTTGTTCAATTTATAATGGTCCAAACCCGTCAGAATTTCAGCCTGTAAATGGTCAATTTTTCTCCATGAATGCTGACTGGCGATCTTTGTGGGTTCCCGACATCTGATTTTGCTTTGGAATAAAATTGATCGATATTTTTGCGAAATTGAAAATAAGAACATCCTGTTTTAGAGCAAAAGCATTTTGTTGGTTTCTGTCCATCAAAAGCCACGCTCAAATTGAAGTTTGAACTCATTCAGAGCCGCGTCTCATATTTGGGCTGCGTGTGTGCGTGCGTACCTGGATGAAGGCGTAGTAACCCAGCGAATGGATGTTCCAGTAGAAGCCCAAACCGAACAGACAGGTGAACAATCCGCTCATCAGCATGCCGAAACTCAGGTAGTAACGTAGCGGCAGGCGCTCCCCGAAGATCCCACTGCGGACACGGCGGGGGGGCACATATGTGACATGCTTGCACGCGTCCCAGCGCCGAGCGGACGGGACTCACCTGAAAAACATGCCGATGGCGTAGGCCACCAGGAAGGAGTTGTCCAACACCCCGAAGAGTGTGTTGTAGTTGTCCTGATCTGTACAGAGCGCACGCACGCGTCAAAGTTGGCACGCTCGGCATTATTCCACGAGCGTGCCAAGAATTATTCATTTACAACCAAGTTCATCGACCTACGTCCACGGCATTGAAATGTATTTACGCTGTGAGAAAATGACGTAAAATTAAAAAAAAAATACATTGATGATATATTTGACCCATTTGAGACTACCGCTGTCCTGTGTGTCGGGTTTAAATGTCTTGCGTCAGGTTGAGGGGTTCCGCTATGTTACTTGGAGCCAATTATTTTGCCCCAAAATTGATTTTGTATTTCAAATAATTATTTTGGGGGTTGGTTGGTTTATCGCTGCCGACCGACCATGTGTGGCAGCAGGCAGAACAATCTACTGCGCTTCCCCCGATGACTGACGGTACAAAATGAGCCCGCGTAGCCACGTTTGGGGAATTTTTTTGCTAAGCGGTGTGCCGTGAGATTTTTTTCGTGTGTGTGTGTGTGTGTGTGTGCGTGCCTGGGGCTCAATAAATGTTGACAAAGACCGCATTGGACGCCATTACGTGGCTTGAATACACATTTTGCTGTTTGACTATACAGTTGAATTCTGTTTTGTTTTCTTGAGTCGAGTTTGCGGTAAACTTCGACTGTTGACCGAGTATCGAGTCAATAGCTTAAAGCGTGCGCGCTTCTTTGAAAACCAGGTCGGTGAGGACGAACGGGTGTTAAGGAATATTTAGAGTCAAGGCGTTTTATTTTTTGGGTTGTGTTTACCCTTTGGAATAAATTTGAATCAATCAAGGGTGCTCGACGATCTGTCAATATTGAAGATTTTCACCGACAGCAGGTGGCACGCACATTGAGCAGCGCGCTTACCAAAGGGAGCCCAGTTGCACCACGTGACATTGTTGGTGATGTTCACGTCGGTCGGGCGGATGACGCCGCTGCAGTTTCTGTGGAGTTCGCCCTGGGGGGGAAACATGGAGGGGCGTCAAGGTGGGTCCACAAACACGACCGACGCTCCATCGGGTGTTTCGGCTACCTTGACGATGCTGATGGGCTTCCGAGACAGGTGGTAGGCGGTGTAGAAGAGGAAGGTGAGCAGCAGGATGAAGCCGCGGTACCTGCGAAGGAGACGTGGACTGAATGTAAAAATGGAGACATATTCTAAAATACAGTACCTTCTTTTTTTGGGGGGCCGCTTTGTGCTTTCAACAGTAACAATAGGAATTACAGCTGCTACAAAATGTCCCCAAAATGGAAACAACAGATGCTTATTACATTCATTTGTGTTACCAGGTTGCGATACATCGTTTAATGGTCACAACACATTCGGTGACAAAAGCATGTGAGGGGAAAATGCTCACATGGTTGATGTAAAAATAACTTCTTTAATGCTTTATTAGAGAATAATGAAGCACTCGACTGTATGGTAACTATGTTGTTATAGAGATTTAAGTGTTTAACAGATTAAAAACGTAATTATGGGGAAATACTCCCAATGTGGTTACTGTTCCTTGAGCGAAACTGAAAAACAAAAAAGTGATTACTCAACGTTTCGTCGCTCAATAACGCACCGTGCCGCTTTAAAAAGGGTGAAAAATGTGTTTTTCGTGCTAACAAAGGCCATAAACGAGCCACCGGTTGCAGCCGGATTCGTTAAATACTACAACTATCTCTATTTATCCGAGCGTATCGATTCGGTAAAGGTCAAATCAGTGGCGGCTCGGGAGGACGGCATGAACCGGAAAATTTCTTCGGAGACGCTAGTGCGGTTGTCACGACGCCAAGGCGCATCATGAAACCACCACGGCGAGCACAAGGTGTGACAAATGCGTTTATTAATTCAATATTGGCGACGGATTGTGTTTACTGGTGTGTATTGATTGTCTATATTGATGTGGTTAGGCAAATCATTCACCGCCCCGGGGAGAGATGAGATGATAAGGTGGCAGCGAACGCGATGTTCACGGACACCATGAAAACTGTGGAGAAAATAATTTTGTCACCCTCACTGTTTTGTGAACTCACCAGCTATCCCGAGAGAAGGCCGTGATAAGACGAATGCCGGGGGCCAGGGACGTCCCCATGGTCGATCAAAAATGTCGTTAGGGGTAAAAAAAAATTAAAAAAAAAAAAAAGAACCACTCAAACGCTTCTTCCAGTCATGATGAAAAGCTTCGATGAGACCCTGAAGGCACCGCTGAGGTCGAAGATCTGCTGATTATTAGCGTGTCGTTACGACGATTGTTACGGTCATTAAATATGAAATATTCGGGGGGGAAATGAAATACGTGCTTACTTGTTTTGCTAGCCTGTCAAAAACGACATTTAAGGCACTGGTTGAAGAGGAAAAGTGATGCTAACTGCTGGCGGAGGACCGCAGCGGCCACTGGGCTTCCTGGTGAGATTCAAGGTCCGCAGACATCCAGACGACGTTCCCCATAGTGGCTGAGTTTAAATACAAGGCAGCCCGACCTCCAGAGGAATTCCAACGGCTGCGAAAAAAAAACCCTCACAGACGCTCGAGTGGATGTGCGGTAGCGAGAGGTGGTTATTAATAGCGAGAGCTTGATTTTTCCACACGCTTTTCCAGACCGAACGTCCCTACAGACACGTGATTGGAGTGGGTGACGTCACAAGAACAGGAAGTAGTCGAGGAGTCGCGAATTTGCAATTGCCGTTTTTTTTTAAAGAAAAATTCTATAATATACAAAAAATACTTAGGTAAGTTTTTATGGTACCTGTACTTCAGTATTCATTGATGCTTTAAAAACATTTATAAATGTATGAAAAAAATAACTAATACATGTAATTACAGCCTCATTTTTACGTGTACAATTTGGGAGGAAATAAATGTATTCCATTTTAATAACAAGGCTGTAGATACTTAAGCACTGGATATGCCTATAACTACAACTTTTTTTTTCTTGCCCTCCTGGGCAGTTAGGTCAGGGGATGCCATTAATATTTGTCAACTGTGGGCATGTGAAGCCCTTTGAGACTACTTGTGATGAAGGGCTATACAAACAAATGTGACTTCTAGGAACTATTCCATCAAGAAGAGAAACAATCAGTCATTTTAATTAGCATTTAAACACATTATCTAAACACTGAAGTTGTATTAACTGTAAAACCATAAAAGCCAATCCACTATTTAAAACTTGAAACGCAAAGTTTGCCCAGCCCTGGTGTCAATGTATTTCTCTTTATGTTCATTTGATTCTTGGTCAGCAGCTCTTCGGCAGTTTTCACTTTAAATCCAGACTCGACACGGCTGCATGTAGTGCCTGCGCATACTCTGCCAAGAGAGACGTGTTGCCGTAAGCCGGGTTTTGTTCAAATTACCGCAAAACCTGCTGAGCGATGTCGGCATCCAGCAGTACCTTTGGGATTGTTGTGGAAGACGCAGTTGTTGGCGCAGGTGTCGGGGTGCGACTCCCAGAAGGACGACGCGCAGCAGCACAGCGGCGGCAGGTCCAACTTCTTGTTGGCCATTCGGTCCCTCACTTGGGATCTCAGAGCGTCAACGTACCTGTTCACAAATCATTGGCGACGTTGGTAAAATATCAATTTCATGGATAGGCGACTGACCCCAAATACATTTCAGATGTGCCAGAAGGCTTTTCCTGAGCAGGTTTTGTCAGCCCTGACCGATTAAATCAAACAATATTTGCTCTCTAACAAACAGATAATGACATTTAAAAACTCACCTGCAAGCGATTAAAAACAAAAAAAAAAAAGGAAAGGAACCCAAAAAAGAATCTCCAGGTTGTCGAAAATTGATTCTGCCAAATATCGGAATCAGCCTAAAAAAAAAATCTCTACCTGTCAGGTCCTAATTTATTATTTCATGAAAGTTTGAAATCCTCTGCTGCAAAGCACAAAAGTGATCTCAGCGTGAGGCCATCTGAAGGCCTGGTGACAACCTGCCGGCCACGATGCCTTTCTCGCTCTCCCGTTTCCTCCTCTCCAGGTCGGCCGCTCTCTCCTCCTTCTCCAGCTTGAGGCGCTCCAGGACGAGCATCTCTCGCTCCTCCAAGCGCTGGCGGACGTGCGAGAGCTGCCGCGTGCGCTCCAGCTGCCGCTCTTCCTCCAGGCGCGCTTTTTCCTTGTTCGCTTTGATCCTTTGGGGTGAGAGGGGAAAAGAGGCAACGGATTCCATTTGGAGTTGCCATAATCAACCACTTTGTAGTCCAGTAAATCATTTTACAACTGTATGTTTGTATGAATGGCAATACAGTAGGGTTGTCTTATTAAAAAAAACAAACACATTTCATTTCCTTTGCCACATTGAAGTGAAATTGAATATTTTTGGCCCGTGAGTGTATTCCGAGCGGCCGTGCTGCGCGCCAACGTGTCACACTGTGATCTGTCGTCACCTGGCCGTCTTCTTCAGGTGCTTCCTGTGCTGGTCGCTCTCTTTCACGCGCTGCCGCTCGACGCTCATGAAGTGGCGGCGGTGCATCAGGAACTGCGACAGGCGCTATCAAAAAAAAAAAAAAATTTAAAAGAAGATGCGTCATTATTTATTTTACTTTTTTTTTCCCGCTATAGAATGATACCTGTCTTCTCAACTCCTCCTGGTCCTGGATAGGCCACAGAACCTTGTCAATCCTCGGATCAGATGTGGAAACGTCCCACCCACGTGCAGTTGTCTGAAACATGTCAACATCGGATTACAATCTGGCTCACAAATGTGAGGCAGTTTTAGCTGGTTGTCGTTTTTTTTTTTTTTTTCCATCCTTGACATCTAGAGCCGTTTATATTCTCATGACTTTGTTGTTGAATAGCTGGGCTCTTCTTTCTACCCAATTGCAGGTTTGGTGGAAAAATACATACAGTCCAAGGGAAGCATTTGGTTCCAGGAACTACAAGTAACAAAGATTCGAGACACCTGAAACTTTGGGTGGAAATGTGACTTAAAGACTTTTGCGCAGTACTTTTAAAAACAAACAAATTGCTCATCGTTGCAACTTCCTTAAATGGTGGGGGTAGAATGAAAGGGGATAAACACCACACATGGTCTCCTTGGCTGACCTGATTAGAATTATTTAAAGAAAAAGTGAAGTTCAGGGGTTATATTTGATACCGTCGATCTTGAGATAAAGAGGAACTAAATGAGTCAGGAAGACTATATTTTGTTGAAATGCAACGACCGGCGGACATAGTTATGTTCAAAGGTGAGGATTGAGTGTGGTTGGACACACCAAAACAGATCTGGCACTGCTTGCTGGGTATCTAAATAGGTCACTTCTGTATTCATCTTCCTCTTCATCATCATCATCTTCAACATCCTCCTCCTCTTCCTCCCTCAGGACATCACATTCGGTCATCTGTTGAAGACAATGACCATTTCATACCTCACATGATGTTTAGCATTTAAAAAGGAAGAATTGGAAGCGTGGTGGGGACAAGTAACACTCACATGTCTGGTGAGTGAGATCTTCCAGTTGTCCGCGGAAGGCTCTGACGTCTCATTGGTGGACTGGCTGGTCTGGCAGGCTGCCAGTTTGAGTCGGACCTGCCGGGTACTGTCGCGGAGCTAGAAACATTTTTAGAAAACATGCTGGATGTCAATAAATCTTGAGAGGGTTTTGAGTTTTCTTTTGGCTTTTGTTGTTTTGCAATTGCTTCATTCAGATGAAATCATTCATCTCAATACCATCCCTAGTGACCTCAGGTGTGCCCCAGGGCTCTGTACAAGGGCATCTCCCCTCTTCATCACATTCATAGAGCAAATTATCACTCCTTTGTTACTTTCTCTCACTGCTACTACTACAACTGTGGATATTTTCAATTGACGGAATGGGCACGAATGCCTCTTGTTTCAACTGTACCTCATTTATGTTTGTCTTCCCTGGCAGGTGATGTGGTTTCGGGATTCCCCTGTTAACGGGACACTGCACAGTGTTTTAGAAGATGCTGTTAGTGCTGGCGGACGTGCGAGAGCTGCCGCGTGCGCTCCAGCTGCCGCTCTTCCTCCAGGCGCGCTTTTTCCTTGTTCGCTTTGATCCTTTGGGGTGAGAGGGGAAAAGAGGCAACGGATTCCATTTGGAGTTGCCATAATCAACCACTTTGTAGTCCAGTAAATCATTTTACAACTGTATGTTTGTATGAATGGCAATACAGTAGGGTTGTCTTATTAAAAAAAACAAACACATTTCATTTCCTTTGCCACATTGAAGTGAAATTGAATATTTTTGGCCCGTGAGTGTATTCCGAGCGGCCGTGCTGCGCGCCAACGTGTCACACTGTGATCTGTCGTCACCTGGCCGTCTTCTTCAGGTGCTTCCTGTGCTGGTCGCTCTCTTTCACGCGCTGCCGCTCGACGCTCATGAAGTGGCGGCGGTGCATCAGGAACTGCGACAGGCGCTATCAAAAAAAAAAAAAAAAAATTTAAAAGAAGATGCGTCATTATTTATTTTACTTTTTTTTTCCCGCTATAGAATGATACCTGTCTTCTCAACTCCTCCTGGTCCTGGATAGGCCACAGAACCTTGTCAATCCTCGGATCAGATGTGGAAACGTCCCACCCACGTGCAGTTGTCTGAAACATGTCAACATCGGATTACAATCTGGCTCACAAATGTGAGGCAGTTTTAGCTGGTTGTCGTTTTTTTTTTTTTTTTCCATCCTTGACATCTAGAGCCGTTTATATTCTCATGACTTTGTTGTTGAATAGCTGGGCTCTTCTTTCTACCCAATTGCAGGTTTGGTGGAAAAATACATACAGTCCAAGGGAAGCATTTGGTTCCAGGAACTACAAGTAACAAAGATTCGAGACACCTGAAACTTTGGGTGGAAATGTGACTTAAAGACTTTTGCGCAGTACTTTTAAAAACAAACAAATTGCTCATCGTTGCAACTTCCTTAAATGGTGGGGGTAGAATGAAAGGGGATAAACCCCACACATGGTCTCCTTGGCTGACCTGATTAGAATTATTTAAAGAAAAAGTGAAGTTCAGGGGTTATATTTGATACCGTCGATCTTGAGATAAAGAGGAACTAAATGAGTCAGGAAGACTATATTTTGTTGAAATGCAACGACCGGCGGACATAGTTATGTTCAAAGGTGAGGATTGAGTGTGGTTGGACACACCAAAACAGATCTGGCACTGCTTGCTGGGTATCTAAATAGGTCACTTCTGTATTCATCTTCCTCTTCATCATCATCATCTTCAACATCCTCCTCCTCTTCCTCCCTCAGGACATCACATTCGGTCATCTGTTGAAGACAATGACCATTTCATACCTCACATGATGTTTAGCATTTAAAAAGGAAGAATTGGAAGCGTGGTGGGGACAAGTAACACTCACATGTCTGGTGAGTGAGATCTTCCAGTTGTCCGCGGAAGGCTCTGACGTCTCATTGGTGGACTGGCTGGTCTGGCAGGCTGCCAGTTTGAGTCGGACCTGCCGGGTACTGTCGCGGAGCTAGAAACATTTTTAGAAAACATGCTGGATGTCAATAAATCTTGAGAGGGTTTTGAGTTTTCTTTTGGCTTTTGTTGTTTTGCAATTGCTTCATTCAGATGAAATCATTCATCTCAATACCATCCCTAGTGACCTCAGGTGTGCCCCAGGGCTCTGTACAAGGGCATCTCCCCTCTTCATCACATTCATAGAGCAAATTATCACTCCTTTGTTACTTTCTCTCACTGCTACTACTACAACTGTGGATATTTTCAATTGACGGAATGGGCACGAATGCCTCTTGTTTCAACTGTACCTCATTTATGTTTGTCTTCCCTGGCAGGTGATGTGGTTTCGGGATTCCCCTGTTAACGGGACACTGCACAGTGTTTTAGAAGATGCTGTTAGTACTGAAGGTGTACAGACACCCCATTTCCTTACAGTCCAAACTAATGCCACAGACCGTGCAGTACTTTACCGTTGAATGTGCTTCCTGAAGTCGCCTCTTGCTCATTGCAGCCACACGACGACGCACTTGCGCCTGAAATCTTCGCAGGCTCTCTTCATTCTCCCTCTGCTTCTCCGCCTGAAGCTCGTCGGTGTAAGAAGCCAAGTCCTAAGGTGAAATAAAAGAGTTATTGGGTCTTATCTGTCGTTTTTGAACTAACTCCACTCCGTGAAATGGAAGAAGAGTGAAAAGAAATTTTATGCAATTTGTAACGGCTGCACTCGACGACAAGGCAAGCTTCGGGCACTCACACACGGATGCTCCTCGAATTCTTGGCCGTCCTCCACCCAGGCTCCCACGGCCACGACCGCCTGGTTCCTCTCGGCCAACACCTTGCTGGCCCGGTGCTCGTTCCGCTGCTTGTTGGCAACTTTCTCCCGAGTCTTTTTCGCCGCCGTCGCCCGGGTAGCGAGCATTGTTGCTAAGAGGGTCGCTCGAGGAAACTCACACGAGTTCTAAATTGAACTAGTTTCAGGAAGTAGGTTTAATGTCGCCTCCACATCGTTTTGTTGGTCAAAGACAAAGACGAAACGGTGAATTTACATTTACTTATGTCAAAGCGACGTTTAAAGAGATTCGAGTTTCGCTCGCTTGTCTTTTTCTTGGTCAAGCATCCCGACGGCTCACTGCTGCCCCGTAACGCACCGGAGTTGCAATTCACCACTACCATTCGAATTAAAAAAAAAAAAAAAAATCAGTTCCAGGTCACAAGTTGCTTTATGACGGCAATGACGTCACACACACGCACATTTGGTTCACGTTTTTATTATTAAAAATACGACAATATTTCAGCACATACAAAGTTTCATATGTAAAGATTACTCTGAGGGTCTCTGGTTCTGACAATCTTGCGGAGGGCGTCAGAGCTTGGACAAGCATCCAACTGAGGGGAGAAAGAGAGCAACTTTTCAAGGAGGCATAGCAAGTGTGTTATGGCGGACCCATGTTCGCGACCCCTATGATACATACAGTTTCACCAGGATATACAATATTATTAAAAAGGAAGCGTTGGGGGCCATTTTGAGATTGCTTCGTAACAATTCATTTGCCATAATAATATTTAGCACATTCAAAACTGTGAGCCCATTTCAACTCTGTCACGAACCAAAATGGCAGCATCAACGCTCATAAAGGCTGATCAACTCAAGTATGGAGGTGTAGAAGTGCAAATAACCTTTATGGAGTGCCGAAGCTTGGCGAGTGCCGGCTTGAAGGCCTCCATGGTGACCGAGTCGGCGCCGTTGACATCACTGAAGCACCGGTAGACAACGGCGGAGATGCGGTGAACTTGGCAGTGGTTCAACACTAAAAACAGCCAGTAGGAAATTCAATGAAAAAGTGATTTGTAACCACTGGGCTACATGATCACTTTGAGGTTGTGTCATGTCAAAACCTGCAGCTGGAAGTCCACTGAGTATGTTTGGCTGCTCCAGGGCACGGCACACAGGTGGACCATTAAAGGTGGTGGTGTGGAGGGAGCGCAGGAAGGGCGCCGAGCTGCCGCAGAGGTAGTCGGCGCTCTTGTAGTCGGCCATGGGGCTATCCGACAGGACGGTCACGTGCAGGTCTTTGTGCTGCAGGCAGTCCAACACCTGCACACAGTAAGGTGCCACACATACACCAAAAAATCTGGCTTTTCCACTCTGTGACAACGAGGCGCTCTAAAGTAGCCACGGCACATCAAAATTAAAAAAAAAAAGGAAAATACCTTTTCTGCCCACTGGAACTGCTGATCTTCCGCAACATAGCACGTCAGCTGGCAGATTACAACCTATAGAAGGAGACACACAAGACATTGTTATCACTATTGTTGTCACTAATAACATGGTGGAACAGAATTTGGGAGGGGGGGGAGATAACTTTTGGAGGGGCAATAGTTGCACAACCACACACAGTCAAATACAGCAGACTCCATGATTGATAACATTTTATGTTATCACTTCAAAAAAGTAATGCACAAGAAAACACATTCCACAGGCTTCCATGTGCATGCCAAAGCAGGAGGTGGCGCTGTAGCCCATAAACATGAGCCCAATGCAGACAATCGAGGAGCCTGAAGAATGTTATCCATCCATTTTTGGGGGGCAAAGAAAAGCTGAGACGTTCCATCAGTCTTTTTTCTTTTTAACTCACAGACGGCTCGTCCCTGTGTCGGTAGAAGATGCACTCAGACTGCTCGTCGCTTCCTGCCCGGCTCCTCTCATTCCATACGGAAGCATGTCCCACCGTGTCCCACTTTTCCGAGGTGAGAACGTATACCGACAGAAACCCTGGTAGAGACCAGACGTCAGTGTTGAAGTCTACTTGGGGGAGGTGGGGGGGGGGGGGTAATTCATGTTTGTGTTGTTTGTGCCGTGTGTGCTCACTGGAAGCGTTGTGTCCCACAGCGAGGATGAAGTGAGAGCATGTCAGCTTGTCCCCGGACTTCAGGGCATCACACACCTCGGGACTCCAATGGAGACAAACCTCCCTGATTAAAAGACAGAAGAGGGTCAGGAAAAAAAAAATGTACAAAAATCAAAAAACTCAACAAAAGGTACAGCTACATAATCGATTTTAAATTGACTTTTTAATTTCTGACAAATAGTTGTGACTTTGGAGTACCTGCATACAAGGGCGGCAGCTATCAAATATTTTTAAAGATTATTCAACCGGGCCTGATCTGGTGAGTGACGTGGGTGTCAGCGAATTAGAGCGTATATCGAGTTGGCTGTTGTGAATTCAAATTAGCGGCTGTCTGATAACTGGCGAACCGTTAGCCAGTCTATTTACTGTTTGCTGCCAACGGCTCAAGAGATAGACTGGCTGAAGTTCCAGGGTGACAGTGCCACTTTCAAGCAGCAGCTAAAGCGACCCATGTCAAAGTCGAACGGGAAGCAGAGTTGCAATGTTATCAAAAGAAGAACTTTGTCTTAGCACAAACGTCATTATAATTTGGCGTCTTGATGATGAAAAAGTGTCTCCGCGCATGAATTTAAATTTTGTAGGATGCACGGATTGACATTTGCGCCTCATGAGAGTCATCGACGTCATTACTGGGTTGCTGGAGAAGTTGTTCAATAATTCTTGATCCTTCGAGTATTTGACAAAAGGATGTCACAGTTATGCTGCTGAGACACCTGGGAACGGCTTTCAATTGTGGGGGGTAAACGCATGATGATGTCTGCTCGTCTGTGTTAATCGGGGCAACAATTTCTGCTTAATCATAGCATCATCCCCGCCCCTCGCCGATTAGGTTAGCTAGCCTCATGGTTACCTCTTTTCCTCGAGTTCTTTGCGAATTTGAGCGTCTTCTTCGTCCTCGTCGAGCGTCTCTTCGTCGTCATCGTCTTCATCCACAGCCCGAGAGTAAACGGTCACAACCTCGCCGAAAAACGTGGCCATTGTCTAGCGAAAGTTCGGGTTAAAGAAGAAAAAGACCGGACAGGAAGTACTTCCGGGTATCTTCCGCAAGTACCAATTTTTTCAAAGTAAGACGGGGTTTAAAACCGCAACATACACTTATCATTTTATTTGAATGACAAGTCGCTATAAAAGGTATCCTTAAGTTTATTTGATATCCAGTTTTATTTTTTTTCCAATTGTCTATATCTCGTCTTATGTGGGTGACATTGAGCATTAAATCCACATGCATAATATGACATGCAATGCAAACAAGCGTTGAGCCGTGCATGTATATTGTTTTAACTTTTTGTTCAAATCCAGTATGGTACATTTTTTTACGTGTGTGTTCTGGTGGGGGGGGGTGGGGGGGGGGGGGTAATTCATGTTTGTGTTGTTTGTGCCGTGTGTGCTCACTGGAAGCGTTGTGTCCCACAGCGAGGATGAAGTGAGAGCATGTCAGCTTGTCCCCGGACTTCAGGGCATCACACACCTCGGGACTCCAATGGAGACAAACCTCCCTGATTAAAAGACAGAAGAGGGTCAGGAAAAAAAAAATGTACAAAAATCAAAAAACTCAACAAAAGGTACAGCTACATAATCGATTTTAAATTGACTTTTTAATTTCTGACAAATAGTTGTGACTTTGGAGTACCTGCATACAAGGGCGGCAGCTATCAAATATTTTTAAAGATTATTCAACCGGGCCTGATCTGGTGAGTGACGTGGGTGTCAGCGAATTAGAGCGTATATCGAGTTGGCTGTTGTGAATTCAAATTAGCGGCTGTCTGATAACTGGCGAACCGTTAGCCAGTCTATTTACTGTTTGCTGCCAACGGCTCAAGAGATAGACTGGCTGAAGTTCCAGGGTGACAGTGCCACTTTCAAGCAGCAGCTAAAGCGACCCATGTCAAAGTCGAACGGGAAGCAGAGTTGCAATGTTATCAAAAGAAGAACTTTGTCTTAGCACAAACGTCATTATAATTTGGCGTCTTGATGATGAAAAAGTGTCTCCGCGCATGAATTTAAATTTTGTAGGATGCACGGATTGACATTTGCGCCTCATGAGAGTCATCGACGTCATTACTGGGTTGCTGGAGAAGTTGTTCAATAATTCTTGATCCTTCGAGTATTTGACAAAAGGATGTCACAGTTATGCTGCTGAGACACCTGGGAACGGCTTTCAATTGTGGGGGGTAAACGCATGATGATGTCTGCTCGTCTGTGTTAATCGGGGCAACAATTTCTGCTTAATCATAGCATCATCCCCGCCCCTCGCCGATTAGGTTAGCTAGCCTCATGGTTACCTCTTTTCCTCGAGTTCTTTGCGAATTTGAGCGTCTTCTTCGTCCTCGTCGAGCGTCTCTTCGTCGTCATCGTCTTCATCCACAGCCCGAGAGTAAACGGTCACAACCTCGCCGAAAAACGTGGCCATTGTCTAGCGAAAGTTCGGGTTAAAGAAGAAAAAGACCGGACAGGAAGTACTTCCGGGTATCTTCCGCAAGTACCAATTTTTTCAAAGTAAGACGGGGTTTAAAACCGCAACATACACTTATCATTTTATTTGAATGACAAGTCGCTATAAAAGGTATCCTTAAGTTTATTTGATATCCAGTTTTATTTTTTTTCCAATTGTCTATATCTCGTCTTATGTGGGTGACATTGAGCATTAAATCCACATGCATAATATGACATGCAATGCAAACAAGCGTTGAGCCGTGCATGTATATTGTTTTAACTTTTTGTTCAAATCCAGTATGGTACATTTTTTTACAGTACATTTTGCCTTAAGGAGAGTGTATATTACAAAATTCATACAAAGCATTTAAAAGTCCACCCAATTCTTATATTTAATTAAAATACATGTATTTCTATTAAACATAGAACACATTTGGCAAGACTGAATTCATTTTTTTTTTTATTTGAAAAAGAAAAATACAGTCACACTCATTCACATTTCATATGTTACACATGAGCATAAGTAGAAAATAAAAAAGATCTGCTCTAAAGCTGTAAAATTACAAGTCCCCTCACATTCCAATTCATTTCCGGCATCTGAGCCTGAGGGGACGCATCCCGCAAAGTGTCATTGTCCTGTTGGATGAATTGCGTCTAAGCACTCATAGCGGTTTGGGCATGTTGGTCACTTCCTCCAGACACTCGTTGTACGCCTCCTGATAATCTTCGTGAGGTTTGATCAAGATCACGCAGGTGGGCCTCTTGGAGCCCGCAGATGCGCCCAAGTCCTGCAGAGACGGCGACGGATTAGCCACAAAGCCTCTTGACGAGACCACGCACAGAATTGTGAGGATCAACTCACCACTTTGGAAGGGACATAGGCATACGGCAGGTTTTTGTCCTCACACATTATCGGCAGGTGGCAGTAGACTTCGATGGGGAGCGTGTCGCCGGCTAACAGCACGATGCTGCAGGTGAGACAAAACATGAGAAAAATATAGAGAACTTTCACACTGCAACTTTTCCATGATCCAAATGAAGTGAATGATTACAGTGGTACCTCAATTTAAGATTGACCAACTTTTTATTTTTCGTGTGTCTTTATGACACTGTCCTCAGTGGCCAAGGCATGCGCATTAGAAGGAGCAGCACCATGTCAATGGAGCATTGATGTATGAAAACATGATACACAAATGTTTTCTGTACATCTCTATAAGTACAGCACTGTAGCGTACTTACTAACACTTGACGCCACACATCACACAAAAATTGTCGGGACTTGTCCCGTCCCAATGCAATTTTCTTTCATTTAAAAGAAAAATAACGTGGTGCTTTTGTAAGGGGGCTGCAACGTAGATTTTCGAATTCGATTAACTGTCTCGTCTCAAGGGCCACTGCATAGTTTACATGAGGGGTGACGACAATGATGACTCACCCTTTCTCCCCCTTTCCAATGAACTTCTGAACTTCTTTCACTCCTCTGCGGATGTTTTTCAGTTTGGACGCTGAAAAGACAGCCATCGTTTTAAAACACACAATTACCAACAAAAAATAACTATCTTAACATTCACTTAGCTACAAAGTCATGCTAAAACGGATGATTTAAGACAGCGTCGGGGCATTTAGAGCTCCAGAAAGAGAGTCAAACTAGGGAACAAATAAACAATATGTCCGGTTAAATGGTAAACGTTACCCTTTTTGACGCATTTGTAGAGTTTCTTGCTGAGCTTCCTGGTGGCTAGCGGCTGCGCGATAGCGTTCACGTTGGCGACCAACTCCTGATAAGTCTTCTCAGACGCCTCGTGACTGCCGGCCGCCGGGACCTCGTCGGCGCTGGACGCCGCTTTTTCCTTCTTCACCTTCGTCATACCCGATCTCCAAAATCCCTAATCGATCGTTATTATTTAACCTATTACGCAGACTCTTAGCTTTGCTAACTGTGTGGGCAAAAGGTAAAAACACATGTGCTTGGGGGGTTCTACGTCTTCCTCTGAAACGAGGCTGGACGCAGAGTACCACAGCGCTCCCACTGGATCGGAGAGTAACAACAACAGATAACCCCAATATAAAAGTTGGGATTCCTAAAAATGTAAATAACACGTTCGGTTAAAAAAAACGAGAGTTAATTAAAAGAAAACTACACAACTCAAAGATCTGTGGGGCCTTTTAATTCACTGTCTTTTTTGTATTCTTCAATTGCAGTTAAACCCCAATTAAAAATGTAAATGGTTAATGCATCTTCAGATTTTTTGTTCTCACCATGCTCCACTGAGGGGTCAAGCACTCAATACACTCTTATCCATATTCATACCCTTTAATTTGCCATCATTGTTCAGAGAGAAAAGTAGCAAGAGTCTTGCCACATTTACAGTTTGCTATTTAAATGTGTTTAATTCCTTTCAAGTGACTATGCATGTAACATTTTAATGGCTTTTTATTGTAATGCCCTCACATGTGGGAAAGGAGAGCCACAGTCACAGCTACACCTTTCAGCATTTTAGTGAACATTAAACGCAATAACGCCCACGCAGGAGCTGCTGTCGACTACAGCTCACCCCCAGTCCTTCACACGCAAGCTCGCCGATGTCACATGCTCCCCCGGTAGACCCCGCCTCTTAAAGGCACGTACACACACACCACTATACTGTATACAGTCTTTTCCATACATTTTGTGCTTCACATACATTTACACTGTGTCCCAGAAGTCTCTTATAATACATTCAAATGTGTGTGGGAGTGATTCTTAAAAAGTTCGCTTCAACACCGAAGATGTGCTGCAGTGGCATCGTGGAGGCCGTGAGAGCGTCAGGGTAAATAGTCGTATTCATCCGTGTCCATCTGGTAGATGTTGTCCACGGCCGTAGGTTGGTGGTGCAGGTGCAGAGATGACGACGTGGAGCTGAAGTACACTGAAGGGACACTCGGAAGCTGCTGATGACTGCAACACATGTTCAATGAGTTGATTTGATGACCCAGTTGGCGTCGAAAAACTCAAATCCAATCAATTCTGTGCATTTTCGTGGCTGCGTCCGCCCGCAAGGTGAAATTTGAATTCGGTTTTGCAGTAGAAGTAGTGCCGAAATTGAGTTTTATAAGAAATTGCTGTACATTGACTATTTGTGCCATTTCGAGCATCTTTGATTTTTTTGTTTTTTCTTGTTATGTCTCCCCAAGTATTCCATTTTTTTCTCACTTAAGTGATGCTGCTTGAAAGCATATATCGCAACTTAGTCATTTCCCACCAACCAGAGCTGAAAGAAGCGTAAGAAAAGGTTAGGCGTTTTTTTTTTTTTTCCGACAGAATCTGCTGAGTGGTTTGCATTTTTTTGTCCTCTCCTGGTTTCCTCGAACTGTTCTTTCTGCACGACGTGACTCATCCGTGGCAGTCTGAGTCGCGCTCGTCGACGCATCCTGAGGAGACGTCACTTCAGAGACGCGGCACCCCTCGCAATGATTCAGAACATGTCAAAAGCGTCAATGTGTTGAGCCACAACATCAAACTCACATTTTGGTGAGACGCTGCCGTCTTCTTCTACCTGCAGACAAAGACGACAAAAGAAAAAAAAGTTCAAGTCATAGGTTGCAATTTACATTTCATGACTTATTGTCTCTTTTCATGCAAAATAATGGTGTGAAACGCTCAAAGGTTTTGGCTAGAACGTCGTCCGGAATTTTATGGGAAGAAAAAGGAGGATGTATTTTGGATTGAAGTCCTAATTTAGAAAGATGAAATATTAAAGTCAGAATTTTCTTAGAATAAAGTTTGTTTACATTTGAGTGTCAAGTAGAAACGTCTCTGAGATTAAAAATGGGACTCGACAAGAACAAAAGAATAAAGTCACACCTTTTCGGCATACAAAATGTTCATTTTGGTGCGAAAAAAAAGTTGTACCTGTATATTTTCAAGATAAAAAGGTTTCTCAAATGAGGAAGTCACAAGGCTGCTGCCGAGACAAAACATGATGGGCAAACCAAAGTTTTCTTCTTCTCCTTTGACAAATGGTCGGCCAACTATCTTACGGCGGCCTGGGAAACCTACCGATGATGATGCTGATGACTGCGCCAAAGAGGATGAGCCCAAAGAGGACGCCTATCGCAACCATTGACCCTGGGATATCACCCTTCTGATTATGAAGACAAAAATGTCACATTTCTTCACAGAAACAGTTGAAAGTCATTGAAAAAAAATAGCATTAAGCAGCCTCACGAGACTAATGATGAGTTTCTTTTCCCGTGATATAATTGGGTAGGCTGGGTGAACATCCAGAGCCATTTTCAAGTGGCAGAAGCACCCAAATGCGCCACAAGTGCTAGACCCCTGATTTTACATCAAAAGGTAAGCAGAGCTGCAATGAGTTTTGTTGAAGACGCAGATGAGGGAACAACATTCGCTTTGCAAACGTGTTGTGAAGACTGGCAGAAAATGTTTTGAATTGTGTAAAAAAAATACTTTATAAGTCTCCTTGAAATGATTTGCGGTGTTCCTCAAGGCTCTGGTGTTTTTCCCCTAGAGTTACACACATTCATACTGTGTGGACAGTCTGGTGTAAACATGAACACATCTGACCTCGGTTTTGGTTTTGAAGTCGATTGAGGAGGAGGAAGTTTTGAAGCCTTCCGAGGAGGTCATCTGAGCTGAAAGAAAAAAAAAGGGGAAGGGAAAGTCGACCATTTTAGCACAGCTGTGTCAGCTTTACATACTTATATTTGCATACAAATATATCACAGCGATCACGAGACAAGCTTCAACAAGATCACCCAGAGCAGATTTTGATGAAAGTTTATTCCAACCGAACGACGTCTCTATTTGTAAAAAATAAATAAATAAAAAAAAATTAAAAAAAGATTCTGCCATTTTGTGGGTTTGCTGCACCTGCTGTACTGACGGCAGCAATGCTCTCCGCAGACAGGACAGTCTTTAAAGTTGTGCTTTGAGGGGCTGAAACACAAACAAATCTTTCTAAAGAACAAGCATCGATGTTACAGTAATTATAACCCTTTAAATAAAAACACTACAAATGCGTCTGAAATAATATTTTAAAAATGAATAATTGAGCGCGAGCATTAACAACTCATGCACACTGCGTCCACTAATATTGATGACTGTTTATTCTGCATTTATACTGTATTACTATTTGGCAGAAAACAGAAGGAATAACATTCTCACCGTCCATTATGATCAGCTCGATGGAGTGTTTCTCATCATTGTCACAGCGATCACGAGACAAGCTTCAACAAGATCACCCAGAGCAGATTTTGATGAAAGTTTATTCCAACCGAACGACGTCTCTATTTGTAAAAAATAAATAAATAAAAAAAAATTAAAAAAAGATTCTGCCATTTTGTGTGTTTGCTGCACCTGCTGTACTGACGGCAGCAATGCTCTCCGCAGACAGGACAGTCTTTAAAGTTGTGCTTTGAGGGGCTGAAACACAAACAAATCTTTCTAAAGAACAAGCATCGATGTTACAGTAAATATAACCCTTGAAATAAAAACACTACAAATGCATCTAAAATAATATTTTAAAAATGAATAATTGAGCGCGAGCATTCACAACTCATGCACACTTCATACACTAATATAGATGACCGTTTATTCTGCATTTATACTGTATTACTATTTGGCAGAAAACAGAAGGAATAACATTCTCACCGTCCATTATGATCAGCTCGATGGAGTGTTTCTCATCATTGAAGGGCCCAGGCACCTGCACCCGGCAGCCGTACACTCCGGCGTCCTCCTTCCTCGCGTTCAGGATGGTCAACGAAACATTGCCGTCCTCCAACCGGCCCAGCAGCTTATACCTGTCGCTTTCTTCCGTCACGCTCACACCGTTGGTTTTAGCGATCTGGAGACCGCAGCCAATCATCGGCAAAGCTCCCCGGACCCAGCAGACCCACGAAGATCCGTGTTTGATGATGTCATACGTGCACGACAGCGTGACGTCCTGACCTGCGATGCCCCTCACGGACGACGGGCTGGACTCACAGACTATGAAACAGAGGAAAAATAGTGACTAACCTAATTGCCGTTTCTGGCATCAAAAATCATGTTGCTTTGACGCAATCTGATGGGATATTGGTGCTAGAATCATTTGGACAAAACTAGTTCTTTGCTGCCAACTGAAAACAATGAAATCCATCAAAGGCGATGAAAGATGTAGTTTGACAGTTAGCTGTAACCGATCAGAGGGCGGAAAAAAAAACGCTGATGTCATCGGAGACCAACAAACAATTTTCTGCAATGTAATTTTCATCAAAACAGGTTACCTGTAAGGAGGCAACAAAGGAGCACCGTGCTGAAGCGTGTCCTCATCTTCATGCGGTACCGGCCACAATCATCACCATCATCGTCATCATCATCATACACGTCCAGACCAAGATTTAGACGAGCGTGCAGATGACGAGTCTAGATTCCCTTTTTTTTTTTAAGTTGTGAACTTTAGCTAAGAAGCAGCATGTGCACACATGACTTCATTTCTGTGGCTCACTCGGCTTCCTGTGTAACAAAAGCCCCCGGGTTTCACTTCTTGATGGTGGAGCTGCACCGGACTAATAAAAATAAATAAATAAATAAATAAATAAAGGCTTGTCCTCTCTACTGTTAAACGGAGAAAAAAAAAAGAATTACATTGAGTTCAGTATCAATGTTTTATTGATTGATCAATGTATTAATTAGTTAACTCATAGATTTAGATTGGTCTCTCAACTGGCCCAAAATAGAAAAAAGGAAACTCAACTAAAAAAAAAAACACAACCAAAAGGATTTGTCCTCAAAAGCTGGTTAACTAAAAAAAAAAAAAAAAAAAGTAAACCAAACCAAATAAGGGACTTGTTCTCATTACGAAAGGTAAATAAAAATAAATTTAACAAGAAAAAAAAAACTGTCCTATCAACTGTAAAAAATACACCAAAATAAGTGAATATTAATACAAATGAATGTTTTTTTTTTTTTATTGATTTAGGAGGCTGATTGTTTTCTCTACACTTCCATTTTGTAAGCCCGTAAATCAGCAAATTAGGCTCCTCCCGATTCTACACGTACACGTCATCCTCTGCCTCTTCTGATTGGCTCCCGCTGCTGCCGGTCACTGCTCTCTGATTGGACCTCCAGATTCCTGCGGCCAACAATGAACACAAACGCCAAAAGTAAGACGAGAGGATGCAATTTTGGAAACCGAATTAACGTATTTTTTTAATGGGCAATTTTGCAAAAGTTGGACTTGTGCGCACTGACTGTAAGCGGCGGTCAGTATCACTGCAGGACTGAAGACGATGAAGGCCATTCTGAGGGTGTTTCCGAGGAACATCCGCAGATTGTTGCCATCTTGCCGCCGAACGGGCTTCTGTTACGATGACGCCACCGTCAGCAAAACACCAACTTGCGCCACCGGCCCGAAGCTGTGTCGCCCATACCTGCACCTGCGCCACCACCGGTCCGGTTGTGTCGTCTACCGAGCCCTCCCACAATTGGACGCTCTGCGTGACATCACTTCCTGTTCCCGCGTCCGTACTTCCACCTTTGATCGTCGGTGGTGTGTTCAGGTTCCCTGCGCCTGAAAGAATGTGTTCGGAAACCATTTGAGTGTTTTTTTTTTTCCGAGTTCACGTGAAGCCATTCTCTATCGATCGTAAACGGCATTTGGTGAACCGACGCGGAATGACGATGAGGAGGACGGAGAAGGTTTTGTCGTTGAAGGGTCCCGGCAGCTGAACCCGGCAGTGGTAGAGGCCCGAGTCCGAGGGGCGCACGTTGAAGATGGAAAGATGGGGCTCCTTGCTTGGGGCGGAAGACACCGAGTACCTGAAAAAAGAGGAGAAGGAGGCGGAGTCTTCCATTTTGGGGCTGCTATCGCAAAGCATTCTGGGACATGTAGTCCCGGAGCTGAGCGGCGTACCTGTACGAGCTCTTGTACATGAGACGCTCGCCCACCGCGTTGACCAGCACGTTGTGGCAGGAGAAGAAGGCCGGCTCGCCTCTCCCCCAGCACACGTGCACGCCTTTCCGTTTGGCCGCCGCCACCCGGCACGGCAGAGACGCTCTCCGCCCGGCCACGCCCACCACCGTCTCTGCAGGACCCGCCCACACTGAAGCGGCCGCGCCGAAATAATATTGCAGCACCGTCATTTTATCATGAAAATATGCATCTCAAAGTGTTGTGCGTATTTTCCTGTATATCTGACAAGGTAGAAACAGATTCTGTTTCATAAAAAAAAAAAAAAAACCCAAACATCTGCATATTCGACACAAGCTTTTCATTGGCACCCCCCCCCAAAAAAAAAAATTCTAACTGTGACCCCAGTTTTCAAAAGTAGTTTTCATATCGATAAACATTTGGAGATACATGTTTTGGTCTACATCCAACTTCACATTGTGATGATTCAAAATTCTTCCTAATTTCTGAGCTAGTCCATTTTTTTCCACCAGTTTTCAGCAATGACGTGCCTCTCTTCCGGTCTGTACTCACCTGTGACACCAGCGACACAGGCGACGACGTAGAGCTGGAGCAGCAGCAGCGGCGGCATGTTCAGCGTTGCGCTCCCATGAGATCGACGGACGCGGCCAGGGCCGAGCAGACGACTCAGTTTTGTCGCTTCCCTTTTCCATTCCGCGGTATTTTTAGAAACGGTTTCTGCTGCTGAAACGACGGGAAAAAGAAACGCAAGTTTAAAAAAAAAAAAAAACATCGGTTGCTTTCATTTCGGGGAGATCTGCCTGTCTAATTATCATACGGAGCTGCAGTGCAAACAGTCCGAGGTGAAAGTTCAGCCATTCTCATGTTGGGTCTTCATTCCTGTCTAATTAGATTCCTTAAATTGGAAAAACAAACACGGCGTTATGGAGCCAATGGCCTGCATTGGATATATAGATGATATTCACATTGGCATCCGACCAACACGACTGCAAGTTTAAACTACTTTGTCCCAAAATATCAGGCAGAGAGATAAGCATAAAATAGACCCCAGACTCTCGCCTTGTGGAAATGAGGTGCCCCATAGACAGCTAGGCCAATGACGGATGGGGTACATGGATTTCATTACCACGGTGACCAAGGGAAGGCATCCGGGGACTGAACAGGCAGAACAAGCGCGTTCTCCTTCGGGAGCATAGTTCAGAGTGTGGAGGAAAGGAGCGTTTTCACTCCTGGAGGCAGCAGTCTGCTACACTGTGTTGATGTGGTGGGTTCGGCTTCGGCCTCGACAAGAACGTGTCCGCTCTCTCTGCTCAAGAACATTATTAGCCAAAGGTGGAAAAGTGGGAGGCCAAATGCGCGCATCAATCGCGGCTGGGTCTGGATCACAGCGAACAGGGTTCAATAAAACAACAACAATGTTCTGACTGGTCATGTCACTGAAGGAAATGCGACAATAAAAGAATAGAATGACGCAAGTGACCCAGATCCTCCCAATTTAGGTTAAAGACTCGGATGAGGTTTAAAGCCTCCGGGAAAGGAGTGAGCGTCAAGGCGTGCCCGTGAATACAAAACAACACTCAGGCTCATTTGTGTCACGGAACATCATGTCGCCTGCCGTCACCTTTGGAAAAACATCACCGAGTCGGGAACAAAGCGCCCGCTGAGGAAGACGAGATGGATTGTAAAGCCACGCCGTTACATCATCAGCATCATCAGCATCAGCATCATCGTCTCCATCATTCTCCAGGTGAAGCTGTGACCTCTGAGAGCTTCACCCGAAAGGCTGTCGCTCGGACGACAGCCGCCGTCATGAAAGGCCCGACGTTGTGGAGTGATTTTTCACGTCTTTGCGCCGCTCACTTCTGCTCGCCGAAGCGCCTTTGAGCGTCCGGCATCTCGGTGACGAGCCCAACACTGATCCGTCTGTCGTTGACGAGCGCGCCGCTCGTTCGTTGGGGCGCACGCCGCCCCCGTTGCGTCATCAACATTTACACCTGTGCGCGCGGCCGCCATGTTTGTTTGCGGGATGCTAATTTGGCCCGCAGTCAATCTGAAACGATGAGACAAGGAGAGGGCAGATGGTGGAAAAGGAACAACAGGAGGCGGGAGGACAGAAGGACAGTCGGCTTTTAAATCAATGGCTGCCATGGCGACAGGCATGCGCGAATGGCGCCTGAAGACAATTTTACTGTCGCGTGAAATACATTTCGGGATGATGTGGAATGAAATGGCTGCTTCCTCATCCACAAACATGTCAAGCGGCTGCCGTGTGAACAGCATTTCATGGGAAAAGTATCCGAGCAACGGCACATTAAATTGCGTTGCAGAGACGAGATGAAAGCGGCGACAGGTCACAACAGGGTTGGAATAGTTTGGGAGTTTTCATAATAGTTATTATTGGTTTTTGACTTTTTAAAAAAAAACCTCTTTGTTTTCATGAGTTTTCAGAGCTTTGTGTCAGTTATTATTAGTTTCCATTTTTTCAAAAACACCTTCCTTGTAGTTTAGTTGTTATTAGTTTTAGTATTAGTTTTAGTTTTTTTTATTTTAAATATTTGGAGTGTTTGTTGTGTGCAAGATTAAAAAAAAAAGTGGTCACAAAGTATTGCGTAAAAAAGAAAAGAAAAGAAAACAATTCTCAAACAAGTGCTTGACCTTCCGTCTTCTTTACGGGCGTACAGCAACGTCGAAATACATACACTTAAAATGAAGCCGGAGAGCTCAGGTATGCGATGAATTGACCAAGATAAAGACAGAAAACATTCTCGCAATAATTCTCGTTCGTTTTATCAATGTTAAAATGTAGTTTTTATTTTTATGATATATCATTTTTTTCCCCCATTTTTGTCATTTGTTTTCTTAACTATAGTAAACTTGGATTACACAAAATTTCGAGTTCATGAACACGTTTAGCTTTTATTACGATTTTTATACAATTTATTTTTTAATCGTGATGCAATAACAGACTAAGAAAATGTGGCAACCCATCCAAGAAGCGGAAACAGTGACGGGTGGTGTCACGCTTCTTGGCAGGTGCAGTCCATTGTGGCTAATGTGTCAATACGCCAACGTCAGTTTAAAAAAAAAAAAAAGGCAGACGTACAGAATGCAATCAACAACGCGGGCTAAGAGCAACCTTGAAGGCAACCACCTGGTTTGCTGTTTTACTCCGCGCAATATCGCTAAAGCGACAGTGAAGAAGGGGGCTAGCCATCCAATTGAGGACAATTGGGTAATGGGTGAGCTGGAGCTGATGCCAGCTGACTTTTGGCGAGAGAAGCGGGGGATACCCCGGATTGAGTGCCAGCCAATCGCAGGCCGCATATAAATCATTCACAAACAAATCTCACGCCAAAGGCCGACTGAGAAAGAGTCTTCGGTGAAGCGAACATTCACGGCGGTTGCATCATCCGATTTGTGACTTACGCGTTTTACTGCCAATATGTATTTACGTGATCGCAGAGTACGTGCCCAAACTCGTCTGCCCGCAAGTCGTATGTCGTAAATTTGCCACAACTCAGAGCTTGGAACTCCGAGCCCCCCAAAAATGACAAACTCATCATCAGATCGGTGAGATCAAATCAGTCGCTTTATGACAGAGGACACTGAACTGTGATTCTTTTTTATTCACAAAGCAGAACATGTTCTTACCATTGCAGTGTCTAATCTGGTTTGAGGAAAAATTTTCTCGGAGTTCATTTTAATTTTCCAAATGATCCAAATACCCTCAATAAAATTATTAGTTTAACCTGAAATTTGAAAGAAAAAAAAACCTCAATTCACAACAAATGGAGACATGGAAAATACACCAAATGGACACCGCATGGAGAATAATGCCGCTTTGTGTTTTGGGGGGGGGGGGGGCGGACAAAAAGGCC